AAGGCAAGCAATTACTCAATATACAGAATGTACGTGGTTAGATTAATTATTAACTTATCTTTGCGCTCAGCCAAAACACGTTACCCGAGAACAAGTAATAGATTCAAAAGACCAAAGTCGGGGAATATGTTGTTAGATATAGACAACAAGATTAATGAAATATCACGTTTACCAAATATAGTGAGATTAGATCCAGCGGGAGATCCTTGATGAACACTCTCATCTGGGAAGATGGGCGAGAGAGTGTCAGAGAGTGTGTGTGTGGTCACATGATGTGCGTTTTCAGTGTTTTAGTGTAGACGGAGAGCTGTTTAGAAATGCTGGGTGAAACGCTAGTGTGGACACGGATCGTTTTCATTCTAAAACGCCATTTTAAAAATAAAAAGCACTAGTGTAAACGGGGCCTGAGTTGCAGAGAGCTAGCATTATTAAACCCCCTGAATTATTAGTCCCCCTGTTTATTCTTTTTTGTTGTTGTTTCCAAATGTATTTAGATGATCATTTAGATGATATTCTAATAAAAAAAAAATAAAAAAATGTATTTAGATGACAATTGTAACTTTTTTTTAAATAGTAAGTTGTATTTAAAGAAAAGTTATGCTGAATAAAAGGTGTATTTATACAGTTATGTTTGGCTTTTGACACATTATTTAACATTTGTGGCTAAGAAATAGGCATTAACTTCCTTTTGTTTTGGTGAGGCCAGTGAAAACTGTCAGGGCAAGAAAAATCTGAACCACTGGACCAATCAGGCAAGCCGAAAAAAATCCTTAGCTTTGAACCCTGCATACCACAGTAGTGTTATGTGAAATGTGTTTGATAAAATAATAAGAGCCAGTTTATAGATGAAGAATTACAGTACCACTGCTACTTGACTGATTTAATTTGTCACCTGTGAATAACTAATTAATAAAGCATAACTTAGTTTTTGAGTTTGTGGATGAACTAATTAGGTCTTGCTGTTTTAGCACAGAACTAAATTCTGTGCATCACTAGTTACAGTTTTTTCCTTCAAAACGTTGCCAAGAAACAGTCATGCACACCTATTTATAAATATACTAAATATATTTTTCTATTTTTCTATTTTTCTTTCTTTTTCTGTGCATTATGATTAAAATCACAATGGAAGAATTACGACATTTGTAGACCACAAGGTGTGTTTTGAAGAGAAATGCACATTCATATTCAGCATTTTCAGGCTGCTAAATTGTTTTAGAAGACTAAAAAGTCAAACATTTTTTTAAATAGAATTTTATTTCTGTTGTAGTATGCTGAAAAGCTCTTTCCTAAGATAAAGGAAAAAGAACAACCCTCCAAGAACTAATGGCTAAAAAGTAATGAACCAAAATGTATATTTATCTTTATCCTGCTGATGGTATCCTGGTATTTATTATAGATTTATGCCAAATTTCTTGACATTCTATGCTTCTAAAAATCCCCCAATAGATGCCCACACACACCTTCAGTCTCTTACAAGCAATAATTAGGGATTTAAATAAAGCAGGGGTTTTCAATTAAAGTTTCAAGAGTTCCATTCTGTCTATTTCCTTCCCAGTGGAGGTCCGGAATCTTTTTATCCCTATTTCAATGATTACGAATTTCTTGGCAAATGTACTGTAGCACTGCAAAGAAAAGATTTCAAGCAGTATAAACTCACCAGCTAAAATTTAAAAATTTAACATAAGAATAAATGTTTTAAGCTATTTTTAAAAAATATTTAAACATGACAGAAAGCCCTTGTGACTGAGAAAAGATGTTGGATGGGGTTTAAGTATATATATACAATGGAAGAATTATTAGCCCCCCACCACCCCCCGTTTTTTTCTCCCCAATTTCTGTTTTATAGGAGAGAAGATGAAGCAGGAACCTTGTTGCATGTTGTTAGGACACAGTGTGTTGATGCATGTTTCTCAGCTAATGTTTACATTTTAATAATTATATAATTTGGTAATTAAAAACCACCTAATGTGGATTTTTATAACTCCGACTCTGCATTTTATTTTGGAGGCTGCTGTCTTGCAGATGTGACGGGTGTTAATAAGAGTATTAATTTAATGTATTTCACTAATAGTCCCTCCTTTTAATTTTC